GTACTCTGTTATTTTAGAGGATCCAATCTTTTTAATCTGATCTAGTCTGGATGAAATTTCCACAGTGGGTTAAAAGGGAATTCCAAGGTGACCTGTTATCACTCCAACCTGCAGTCCAGATGTTCTGCTGCAAGGTCTTTCTGCTCAACAGCTGTGTCTTTGAGAGGTCATTCTGCAGTAATCGTATTCCCAGGGGAAGCTGGCATCTCATTTGGGCAACTCGTCTAATATCAGATGCCCTCAGGTAAATAACACAGGAAGGCACGGGAGCACCAAGGGGACGCCTTACCTAGAGCATAGACTAACAACTGCTGGATCTACCAACTGAGGCTCTGCGGTTCTTTTAGTAACATATGGTAAATGCCACATCTTCCTGCCAATGCTGTCCCTTTCACTACCCCATCTGGCTTTATTTTACAGCTAGCTTGGGATATAGAGCTGCCATTCAATGAATGCTTTACTATCATCATTGGAAGTCACTTATTAAAATAAACTAAAATACATTTACAAAGTTTTTGGAGAAAGTGAGCATAAAAAAAAAAACATATAGAAAATCAGATAGGCATATATGGTGTCAGAATATAACTTGCAAAAAAAAAAAAAAACACTGTAATTTTACTCGCCGTAAATTCCTTTTTCCTTAATATGGTGGCAGTACAATAGGGATGTACTCTTCCCTCGGGACAAGCATCCGAAATAAATAATTAACATAAAAAGTACCTCCCCTTACCAGGTATAAGAGACCAAACCAGCCCTGGGACCTCAGTACGTACCAAGAACACCTCAGTGAATCCATAGAACACCCAAATATAATATATATACATAAAGGGAGGGAGTGATGTACTGCCACCATATTAAGGAAAAATGAGTTTACAGTGAGTAAAATTACAGTTTTTCCTGACATATGGTGGCAGTACAATAGGGATATATCGAGATCCCAGACTAAGGGCGGGAAGTTAGGCAATAACAGCTTGTAACACCTTGTGCCCAAAATCAGCGTCCGAGGCAGAGAATATGTCTAGCCTGTAATGCTTGACAAAAGTGTTGAAAGAAGACCAGGTCTTGCATATATCTTCCGGAGAGGCATACGCTTTTTCGGCCCAAGAGGCAGCCATAGCTATAGTAGAATGTGCTTTCAAGGAGGCAGGCAGAGGTAGATACGAGGACGAATAAGCTAATTTAATAGTATCCACCAGCCATCTAGCTAAAGTGGCATTGGAGGCAATTTGGCCTTTACATTTTCCAAAGAAATTCATGAATAGATGATCAGTCATCCTATACGTAGAGGAGTGGTCCAAGTAGATTTTCAGAGATCTACCCACATCTAGTTGGCTCCAATCAAATTTCCAATCTGGCATAGATGGACCATTAAAGGAAGGAAGAAAAATAGGTTGGTTTATAACATTGGAGGAGATGACTTTCGGAAGAAAGGAAGGCTTAGGGTACATAACCACTTTATCCAGAAGAAGTTTTGTAAAGGCAGGAGAGGAAGAAAGGGCCTGAAGTTCCCCTGTCCTCTTAGCCGAAGTAATGGCCACCAAAAATACAGTTTTCAGGGACAGATTCTTCAATGAAGCTTCTTCCAAAGGTTCGAAAGGCTCAGTACACAGAGATTTCAAAACTAAAGACAAATCCCAAGAGGGAAAACAGATTTCCTTAGGAGGCTTTACGAGTCTAACAGCTTTAAAAAAATCTCCTAATGAGAGGATCAGAAGACCAATTTTTTAGAGAGAGCGGAAACTTGGACTTTGAGGGTAGACCTTGAGCAAGACCATCTTGCAAAAAATGAAGGATAGTATCAGTAGAAGGAGAGGATCCTATGCAACGATGAGTTATGCACCAGTGAAGAAATCTCGTCCAAATTTTTAAGTAGATAGAAGAAGTAGAGCTTTTGGTAGAATTTAACAGTAACTGAAACCTCTCTTCTTTAATGCCTCTATTATGCACAATTAGCCGTGCAGCAGCCAGGCCGTCAACCTGAACATGTTCAATACTTCTACTGGAATTCCCTTGTTTTCCAGAAGATCCGGTGTTACCGGGAGAATCCAGTACTTTAAAGCCATCTTCTTTAAAACCGAGAACCAGCTGTGGTTTGGCCAGTACGGTATTATGGCCAGAATACGAACTTGATCTGATGTTACCTTTTGCAGAATCCTTGGGACAAGGCTCACTGGGGGGAAAATGTAAGCAAGGGGAAACTCCCACCGGATCGAAAGACCATCCATTACCAGCGGCTTGTCTACCTTGAAGAGGGAGGCAAATGATCTTACTTTTGCCTTTGATCTTCTTGCCATAAGGTCTATGAATGGCAGACCGAATCTCTTCACCAGATAAACGAAAATTTCTGGATTGAGAGACCACTCGTTCTGGGACCATTTTGATCTGCTTAAATCGTCCGCTACCACGTTGTCTACTCCTCGAATGTGAATGGCAGAAATGTCGTCTAGATGGCTTTGAGCCCAGGACATAATCCGCGAGCAAAGGAAATACATTTTCTTTTACTCTTGTACCGCCTTGTTTGTTTAGGTAGGAGACTGTAATCTGATTGTCCGACTGGATCTTTACAGCTTTTCCTATAATTAAATCCTTGAACTGCTGAAGAGCATAGAGAACTTCCAACAACTCCCTGAAAGTTGAAGATTCCTTTGTTTCCTTTTTCAACCTAATACCTTGTCTTAAGTGATACAGGAGGTAAGCTCCCCAATTTGAAGCGTCTGTAAAAATCCCGATCCAAGATTTTTGACGAAAAGACAGGCCTTCTGTATTGAATTTTTTCCCTAGCCACCAAGAGATCTTTTCTTTTGTATGATCTGATATACTCATTAAAGCATCCAAGTCTTCTTCCTTCTTTGACAATTGGACAAGAATTTCCCACTGTAAGGGCCTTGATTCCGCTCTTGCCCATTTTACTTCTGGAATTGTAGAGGTCAGATGACCTAAAACCTGCATGGTTTTCCTCACCGAACATTCTGACATCCGAAGAAGGTTTTTTATTAAAATCTTTATCTTTTTTCTCTTTTCTCTTGTCAGATGAACCAACAGAGACTCCGACTTGATCAAAAACCCTAGAAACAGGATAGACCACGTAGGGGTAAGGTGTGATTTTTCTAGGTTGATAGTCCAACCATGTTCTTCCAGGATTTCTAGCGTATAGGCCACATCTGACTCTAGAGCTCCTCTTGAATCTGCCTTTATTAACCAGTCGTCCAAGTAAGGTACTACTGTGATTCGTTGCATCCTTAAAAAAAGCTGTGACCGGTGTGAGGACCTTTGTAAAAATCCTGGGTGCTGAAGCTAGCCAGCATGGGCGTCCGCAGGGGGGGGCAAGAGGGGGCACTTGCCCCCCCTTGGATTTTTCAGCTTGTTCTGATATTTTTTGTGTGAAATTTAAAATGAACTGCGCTGTGTATGGAGAGAGACAGGGATAGGAAGCTGCATCTTATCCCTGCTTCTCTCTGCTGATTGAAACCGCAGGGGAACAACACATGCAGCCAGAGAGACAGTCTACAGATCAGGTAAGTGAGGGATGGGGGGGCAGAGACAGCCTACAGATCAGGGGAGTGAGGGATGGGGGGGCAGAGACAGCCTACAGACCAGGTAAGTGAGGGATGGGGGGAGGGTTTGAGATAGCCTATAAGTTGCCATGAGCAGCCTATAGACTCAGCTATTTCAGCAAGGGTATGGGTGACAGACGCTATAGTCAGCAGCCTCCAGCCTGTAGATTAGCTGAAATGTTGGAGATGGAATGAGTTTGTTCAGGTTATTTAGATCCAAGATTGGTACGAGTGTGCTAAAGACATGTCCTGGTTGTGCTGTGTGACTAGTGAACAGTGACCTGGAGTATGACCCCTTGATGATACTTGGGAAGTTGGAATCCTTCTCTACCACATGCCTTTTCTTAATAGGGAGACACAGTGGTAAAGTAAGAAAAGGGCAGAAATTGGTTTTTTTAACTTCAGACACAAAGGTAGGAGGAGACAAAGGACAACACAAAGGTCTCTGGGAGCACATCTAAGCAATTTGTCATTCGGTATCCACTTTTGGACACCAGATTCAGAAAAAAAAATCCACTGAGATGCCATTGTAGTGGCTCTCCCTCCATCTGTGAAGGGAAAACCTTGCAACCAATTCCTGACGTCCCACTCTGAAGCGGCAACCTGTCAGAAACGTTTGGCATTTCTGTCAGACTTAGGGTCTTTTTCCTGTGTGTCAAATCTATGGATGTCATTTTCATTTGTTGACGCCCATGAAGAAAACCTGGAATATGTAGGCATCCTTTAGATCTTGCCAAAATCCCTTTTCGAAGGATATGGGTGACAGACGCTATTCTTTCTGAAATGTTGGAATGGAATGAGTTTGTTCAGGTTTTTAGGAACGATGTCCGGTTTTGGGACTAGGAACAACCTGGAGTATACCCCTGATATACTTGTTTCCTTTCAGGGAGACTCTTGGTTTTTTTATTCGACCGGTTTTGGAACATCTACGAATCTTCCATTTTGCACCAGATTCAGAATCCATGGATTTGTAGTGGTCTCTCCATCTGTGGTTTCAGCGACATTTGTCGGATTAACTATTCTAAAGGAGAACTAAACAACTTTTTCTTCTCCAAAGGCAGTTCACATCATGCAGGTTTTGATGCAGTGTCTGCTGTCCAGGCTTTAAGCCACAGTTCCCTTCGGGCCACAGATGTCAAACCCATGACACGAGCCAAAAGCTTTATCACCTCCGTGACAATATCCATAAGGTACTCATTAGACAACCTTAAATTCTGGAACAGGAGGGAAAGACCTTTGTCTTGGTTATCACCCAGACCATCTTCCAAAGTGTTAAGCCAAAGATTCTGAGCTCTCACCACTGAAGCCACGGCTAATGCTGCTTTAGCCTGAAAACCTGCAGCCTGATAAGCCCTTCTGCTGGAAGTTTCAGCCCTCTTATCCATAGGATCTTTCAGACCAGAAACTTCACCAATAGGTATGGTAGTTTTTTTTAGACAATAGAGCCACTTGTACATCAACCACCGGCAATTCTTCCCATTTATCTTCCTCCTCTATTTTAACAATACTTTTAAAATGTCTGGAGACAAAAGCCCTTTTCTCAGGGTTCTTCCATTCTCTGAATATAAAATCTAGCATTTTTTGTTGGACCGGCAGTGTTTTACCCTTGGATTTATCTACCGTTTCATCAGAAAGGATAACATTAACCTCTTTAATAAATTTTCTCAACTCATCATGAGGAAATCCAACCTCAGAAATAGAAGAGTCGCTAGAGGATTCTGAATAAGAAAAAGAACATTCACCCGAGGATAGTTCTGAACTAGATGGAGTTCTCTTCCTTTTAGACTTCTGTTTAGTAGCTTTTACAGGAGAAGTGTGAGCAGGATCTTTAAAAGACTCAAAAGTCTGGGCCAGATTATCCTGAAATCAAGACAAAAAGGATTTCATCTCTTGCTGCTTGGATTTTTCTAGCGTCAAGGAAGAGCAAACATTACAGACTTTCCTTTTAAAACCATCTGGTAAAGGAGTAGAGCATTCACTACAACAGAGATGTTTAGTTTTGGAACAGGCTTTTTTAGAAGCAGGTGTAGGCACTTTGTCTTCATCCATATTATCAGTAGAGACAGGACTAGACATATCTGTAATACATAAGCAATAAATAATTTTGTAGAAAAAAAAAAAGAGAGTTTTTAAAGATGAGAGTCTAAAGAATCATACCTCTAAAACCTCTGACCCGTGTGGGAGGGCTGGTGACACGGGAGACCTTCACTGCCGAGCATCCATGCTGACAGGAAGATCTGCACAGCATAAATAGGCAGATCTGCTTTAAATTTGGCGCCATTTCGGGGATAAGCGCGGTCGGAACTCCAGTGGAACGCAAAACCACCCGAGCGTGCGTTCCACCGCCGTGCGCATGCGTCTCCAATGGGCAGTGATTTGCTGCCACTAGAGACTGCCTCCCTGCTTTGCCGGTGACTGCACTCGGCATAAAAGCAGGCTTACATACCTGCTCCGTAATCTGCAGGATGTTTGCTGGCCATTCAGCTCTCCACCCAGGAGGCTATCAGACCGGATCCCCCTGGCAGCAACCCATGTGCCTCACCATCCATATTCCAGATGCCGTCTGTTCCTGTTGGAACAAGAAAGAGAACTGAGGTCCCTGGGCTGGTTGGGTCTCTTATACCTGGTAAGGGGAGGTACTTTTTATGTTAATTATTTATTTTGGATGCTTGTCCCGAGGGAAGAGTACATCCCTATTGTACTGCCACTATATGTAAAAAAAAAATAAAAAATATATATATATATATATATACATATACATATATATATATATATATATACATATACATATATATATATATATATATATATATATATATATATATTTATTTTTTATCTTGTGCATTTGTCTATTACAATGGTTCTTAACCTTATTTGACAGTGACCCAAATGGCATTCATGGTATTAGTTTAAAACCCATTCTTCGATTGTAAAATTATCTTGATTAAAACTGTATTATACAAAAAAAAAAAAATTCTTCATCAGACTCATCTGTATGTCAAAGACTGTTCTTTGCTATGGAGAATGCAGTGTCCCTACAGTAAATGCGGCCTTGTGAGCAGTAGCTTGGGATCTGATGGATGGGATATTCCTGCATTAGCCATAAAACAAGGAGCACTAAATCGAGTTAAAATATCATATGCACCAGTCCGTAATAAAAACCACAATACTTAAAACAACATTCTAGACCCTTAAAGCACTTCAACTTGCCTTTTTATATATGAAGACAATGTCCTCTTTTCTCTTTTTTCAAATGATTTCAATAGAAATTGGCACTTTTAGAAATTAACCTAGTTACACTCCCTCCCATAACCGGTCATATTACTTCCTGGTTTGTTTAGCTCAGTGGAGCTAAACTCAAGAGGCAGGAAACTGTTCAGTGCACGAGACAAGAGAACTGCAGGTTTTGCAAACTGTTTTTAGATATACCCATAATGAAAAAATGCACGTTTTCATCACGGGTATATCTATTAAATAGTGACTGATTTATATATTTTATGTGGGCAGCAGTGTGTCCCTCTAACTAATGGGAACTGAACAAATACAGTGTAAAATATGAAAGCACTGTATGCATTCCCAATCAACAAAACATATTTATAACATACTAAAAAATATTTGCAGAGCACAACAATTATTTTATAGTGTGTACAAATGTCATAAACAGAAATATTTGTACTGATTATACTGAATGCCCTCATTTCTTCCTAGGCTCTTTCTAAATCACAGTAAACATAGAAGCCCCGGATAACGTCAACCAAACAATCAGCAATAGACAAAACAATATCGGTCTACAGTGGATCTACGCCACATGGCAAATGCCCATAAACCTGCTTTTTATAAAGATACAAGACACATGTCTTAAGTCATTGCTAACGCTCTGCCCATAATTATAAGTTTGGCGTGGATCACCAGTCGCTTGCGCTACCATACAAGGCCCAACACATGAGGATATGAGAAGAAAATTGAAATGACTGAGAATATAAAATGTGTAATATAGACTAACAAGTGATACTTACTAACAGTGGTTACTAAAAGTAGTAGATGAAAAGTGATGATCGGCAGTTATATATCCCTAAAAACTAAATATTTTCAGCAGAGAATATCATCAAGCAGGAAGCAATATAGGCATTTATTAGAGAGCAGTGTTTATCACATGACTACACAAAGACAAGAGACTTCTTTTAAAATATGTATTCATTGCAGCCAATACTTCCATACCCAAATATTGGAAATCTACAAATATCCTATCCATTAAAGAAGTTTTAAATGTGGCAATCGAAAATAAAATATGTGAATTTATATTTAGGCAAAACAACTATAAAAAAAATATTAATCAACATCATGAATGGGCAATGTGGGAAGAGGACATGGTAAAAAAGTACAGTCTTGAGTGATGCTCCCCAGTCGACCAACGTGAATTTTGTTTTCATCTTATTTTTTATTTATTGTTACATTTATTATATTACACTTTTAATTCATACCGGGCTCGAATATAAGAAGGTTTTTTGGTACATTTTTTTGTACAGAAAAACTGGAGTCTTGAGTCACTGTTTGTCGACCAACGTGAATTTTGTTTTCATCTACATTTTTGCGGGCTCATTACAAGCTATTATAGTGACCAGGAACTAATGGGAACTGAACCAGTGTAAAATATGAAAGCACTGTATGGCTTATATAGTGTGTACAAATGTCATAAACAGAAATATTTGTACTGATTATACTGAATGCCCTCATTTCTTCCTAGGCTCTTTCTAAATCACAGTAAACATAGAAGCCCCGGATAACGTCAACCAAACAATCAGCAATAGACAAAACAATATCGGTCTACAGTGGATCTACGCCACATGGCAAATGCCCATAAACCTGCTTTTTATAAAGATCAAGACACATGTCTTAAGTCATTGCTAACGCTCTGCCCATAATTATAAGTTTGCGTGGATCACCAGTCGCTTGCGCTACCATACAAGGCCCAACACATGAGGATCTGAGAATATAAAATGTGTAATATAGACTAACAAGTGATGTGGTTACTAAAAGTAGTAGATGAAAAGTGATGATCGGCAGTTATATATCCCTAAAAACTAAATATTTTCAGCAGAGAATATCATCAAGCAGGAAGCAATATAGGCATTTATTAGAGAGCAGTGTTTATCACATGACTACACAAAGACAAGAGACTTCTTTTAAAATATGTATTCATTGCAGCCAATACTTTCATACCCAAATATTGGAAATCTACAAATATCCTATCCATTAAAGAAGTTTTAAATGTGGCAATCGGAAATAAAATATGTGAATTTATATTTAGGCAAAACAACTATAAAAAAATATTAATCAACATCATGAATGGGCAATGTGGGAAGAGGACATGGTAAAAAAGTACAGTCTAGTGATGCTCCCCAGTCGACCAACGTGAATTTTGTTTTCATCTTATTTTTTATTTATTGTTACATTTATTATATTACACTTTTAATTTACCGTATATACTCGAATATAAGTCGGGTTTTTCGGCACATTTTTTTGTGCTGAAAAACCCCCACTCGTCTTATAATCGAGTCACTGTTTGTATTATGGCAACTTACATTGCCATAATACAGACAAGGACCGCCGGGCTCATTACAAGCCCGGAGGTCTTGTTGGGGGCTGGCAGCGAGCTGTTACTTACCTCTTCTGCAGCTCCTGTCAGCTCCCTTCTCCTGTGTTCCGGTCAGCTCCCCTGTCAGCTTCCATTGTAAGTCTTGCGAGAGCCGCGGGGTCAGAGCATTGCCACGGGTTACGGTGGCAACGCTCCGCACGGCAGTCACACCGCGAGACTTACAGTGGGAGCTGACCGGAACGCAGGAGAAGGGAGCTGACAGGAGCTGCAGGAAAGGTAAGTTACAGCTTGCTGCCAGCCCCCCTCCTACACAGCCCATCCACTGGACCACCAGGGAATAAGAGCCGCCCTCCCTGACCATGTATCAAGCAGAGAGGGGGGACGAAAAAAATATAAATAAAAATTTAAATAACATAATAAAATAAAAAATTTAATTATATTAAAATAAAATAAAAATATTAATAATATTTAAAAAAATTATATTAAAATAATAATAATGATTAAAAAAAATAATAAAAATGCCCACCCCCCACCAAGGTTACACACTCTGCATCACATACACAAACACATTCTGCATCACATACACACACTGCATTCATACACACACACACTGCATTCATTATATACACAAAATAAATATTCAATTAATGTAATTTTTGGGGGATCTAACTTTATTTAGAAATTTACTAGTAGCTGCTGCATTTCCAACCCTAGTCTTATACTCGAGTCAAAAAGTTTTCCCAGTTTTTTGGGGTAAAATTAGGGGTCTCGACTTATATTCGGGTCGACTTATACTCTAGTATATACGGGTAAAAACATGTAAAAAACATGTGTAAATATATATATATATATATATATATAATGCCAGTATGCAACAATACCTTTTTATTGGACTAACATAATATTTCAAAGACAAGCTTTGGACTAATATGGCTAATCCAATTTGCAATATATATATATATATATATATATATATATATATATATATATATATATATATTTTATTTATTTTTTTTATTTTTATTTTGACAATCTTTATTTTTCGTTTCAATTATAAATTCAAC